ATTTAGCTCAGTGGTGCTGCCGCCTGCCTCACAAGTGGAATCCTGAGTTTGATGCCCAGTGCCCCCCCCCAAAAGTGTTTGTGTCTTAGTTACTTTTGTTATTGCTGAGACAAAATACCTAACACCCAAAATTAAAAGAGGAAGGATTTATTTTAGTTCATAGATAGTGGAAGTTTCAGGCCATAGTCACCTGGGTCCAAGGCGGGGCAGCATAGCAGAGGGGCATCACAGAGGAGAAACAGTTCATGGTGTGGCAGGCAGAAAGCAGCAAGTAGCAAACAGCAGCAGCAAGCCTACATTCCTTCTCTCCCTTTATATTCCATCCAGGCTATAAGCCTATTGATTGGTGCTACCCACACCCAGGGTGAGGCTTCCATTATCCACACCCATAACTATGATAATTCCAATCTGGACTGATTTAGTACCCTATACCCTTAATCCCAGTATCACATGCCCTAGGTCCAGCCAGCTCCAAAAAGCCCTACCTATGAGCTCCTGAGGCTTTGGGGGGACATCTAGCTACAAGCTGTAACAATTGGGTAGGGCTGGTGTCTTAGCTCTGTAGTGGAGCACTTACCTAGCTAGCATGCATGAGCCCTGGGGGCTCAATCCCCAGCACCCTCCCCAAAAAAGTGCTCTCAGTTTAGCATACATGGCTTCCAATATTATCAGTGCCATTTAGGTACCTTGGGCAAGTGAAGCAGTTTATGATAAAGCAGATAAGTGATAGTAATAAAATACTGAGCAGCCTCACATTCATCAAGAATATTCATTGAGGTAAGAGGACCAAGGGTTGAAAGAGATAGGGAAGGCTGGGAGGGGGAGAGAATGAAATAAGAATTAAGAAGTGTTATGTACATGTACCAACTCCCCACAGTAAATGTAATCATTATGTACTGCAAACATGTACTGATAAAAAAGAATATTCATTGATAGAGTTCTTTGTAAGCCAAATATGATTTTAAGCCTTTGTAATATTCACCCATATTTGAAAAAGTTATTTTATAATATGGCTTTTACATCATTGTTGATGATTTCTTTCTTTTACATTTGTAGAAACAGGTCTTTGAAGCCTCTGATCTGGTTCTGTAGGACATTGTTAGTGTTTGCATTAAGAGGGATAGCTAATAAGGCAATAGTTTACCCTTTGGAAGTGATATATTTCTTTTTTATGCTAGAAAAGATATTTAATGCAAAAGAAGTAATAAAGGATTAGTAAAAAAGATATGAGACATTGGAAAAAGTAAAATGGCAAATGTAAATAAAATTAGATCAATAATATTAAATGTGAATTATTAAAAGATCCATCCAATCAAAAGGTAGAGATTATCAGACAAGGTAAAAACCAAGATTGAATTATATGATGCTCAGAGGATATACATTTTAGATTCAAAGACCAAAACTAGATTGTAAATAAAAGTATGGGAAAAGTTATGTCCCATAAATAGCAACGAAAGCTGCAGTGGCTATATTAATATCAGACAAGCCAAACTTTTATTTTGTTTTGTTTTGTTTGAGACAGGGTCTCTATGTACTTTAAGCTGCCCTTGAACTCACATAGCCCAGGCTGACTTCAAATTTAGGGTGATCCTGGGATTACAGGCGTGTGTCATTATAGAGACATTTTGTTTTATTTTGTGAGACAGGTCTCACTATGTAGTTTAGGCTGACCTTGAACTCACTATGTAGCCCAGTCTGGCCTTACACTCATGGTGATCCTCCTTGCCTCAGCCTCCCAAGTGCTGGGATTACAGGTGTGTGCCACCACGCCTGGCCAATAGAGATATTTTATAATGATAAAAAGTTGAACTCATTGGAAGCTGTTGAAATTATAATTATACAGTAAGTGCTGCAATTACAGGCATGCGCCACCAAACCCAGCAGAAATTACTTCATTTTAAACTATTTGTGAAAACAAAAACATAAGCCAGTAAAGTCTATGCTATGAGATCAATTCCCAGAACCAAAACCTAACAAAATAAATAAAATTTTTAGGAAGTGGCAAACCTAGAAGAACCACAATAATTTTGATAAAGGAGAACAAGGTGGGGACAATTTGTGTTAACTGATTTTGACTTTATTCTAAAGGTATCAAAATTAAGACATTTATGGTATTGGCAGGGAGACAGTGGAACACAGCAGAGATCAGTGGAATACAACACAGTCTAGAAATAGACCTAAACAAATATGATTGATTAAATGATATATTTTTTAAAAAGTGCAATGAGAGACATTTATAACAAAAGTGTAAAAAAGGATCAAAATGTATAATAGATAATGTGAAATAGGAAGCAAAGATCCAAAGGGGAAGTGGAAGTGGGAGGGGTAGGGGAAAGGAAAGAAGGCAAAGGAATAAATATGAGAAAAGGAAAAAATGGAAACAAAGTCTTTGTAAATAGAGAGGGGTGGAGGGGTTGAAGGGAGGCAGGGGAATGGGGAAGAAATAAGAACCAAGATATATCATGTAAAGGTAACAAATTTCCAATGATGAATGTCATATTGTATACCCAAAATGTACCAATAAACTTAATGAATAAAAAATAAAAATGTGCTGTGGCAACTGAGCATAGGAAGTATAGCCTTTTCAACAAAAGCTCCTGGAACAGTTGGGCATGTATATTTTTACAAAAAGAACCTCAACCTAAATCTCATACTTTATTATAAAAATTAACTCAAACGGGTCATAGATCTAAGAGTAAAACCTTGCATTTCTAGAAGAAAACAAGAAATTCATTGTGATCTGTGGTTGGGGATAGTGTTCATAGGTGTATCAACCAAAGTATGGTCCATAACAGAAAAAAAATCATAAATTTAACTTCATCAAAATTAAATTATTTTGCTCTATGAAAGACACTGTTAAAATGAACTACACGTGGCCCCCAATGATTCTTTTCTAAGTTTAATTGGAACTGTAATCTTAATGTCTGTATGGAATGTAAATAGGTGAGAAGAAAATAAGAATAAGAAAGTGACATGCCTTACATTATTAAATATACTGGAATCACCTTTTTTTTCCCAAACATTTTGGTAACTGTGATACAGGAATAGATTGGTGCAGAACCCAGTACAAATGGAAACTTAATATTGTATAATGTATATAATACTGAGTTGGATATGCTCATGTTATAATAAAAAGTATATTTTAAAAGAATGTTTTGTTACTTACATTTAATTATACTGTATGTTTTAAATGTGGACCAAGACAATTCTTCATTATTCAGTGCAGCCTAGGCAAGTCAGGCATCCCACAGATTGGGCATACCTGAATCCTAGAAGAAAATACTTCAGCTACAACATTTAGTTTCAGATGAATGAAAAAGTCAAACACAAGCAACAAAGTCTTAGGAGACCAAATTTTAGATACTTGCCTATTGATTGCTGAGTAATTATGATTGTCATTTGAGGAAAAGACTTTTCCATGTCAGTCTTTCTAGTTTTCAGTAGACAACTACAGTTTACACATTGTTTATCCATCTAGTCTTTTTTAAAAAATGCATTTAAATATATACAAAAAATATAGCATTGTTCAGTAGGGTTCTTTTTTATATACAAACTGTCAAAGTTTTGATTGCTTTTGTCACTTAATAGTATGTTTGAGATTTCTGTTCATATTAGTACACAGAGTATCTTTTTGTGAAATCTGTCTATCTCTAAGTAGTAGGAATTGAACCTAGGGCCTTTGTCTTGAGCTTCATCTGGAGCTCTTTTTTGCTGTTATATTGAGACAAGGTCTTGCTAAATTTGTCAGGCTGGGCTCTGCAGTCCTACTGTAAGTATTCTATATTAATTAATGCTGAGAAAACTCATTCAGTTTTACCAATTACAGTACGTTAGCCATTATTACTTAGGTTTAACTCTAAGTAAGTAAATGTTATTGATAATTTCTCACTTTTTGTTCTGTGTCTCACCTTTTTTTTTTTCTTGAGATGTGATCTTGTGTTGCCCGAGGTTTTAAACTCATGGGCTGAAATGATCCTCCTGCCTCAGTCTCCTAAGTAGCAGGGACTATAGGCAAGCACCACCATGCCCAGCCAAACATCTTATTTTTCTAATGATTGTATTTTTTTCCTAAGGAGGAAAGGTTTATTTTGTAGAAGTTTTAGTCCATAATTGGCTGATCCCAAGGCAAGTCAGCATGGTAGAGGGGCGTTGCAGAGGAGAAACAGCTTATGTCATGGTGATGGGAAGCAGAGATGACTGCATTTTCTAATGCCACATTGTTGTTGAACTTCTTTGAGTAATTTTCAGGCAGTGTATTGGATTGGTCTACTTTTCACTGTCCCTATTGTCTGGAAATGCAGGTGAACTTTATTGACAGCTTGTCTTGAGTTCAGAATTTGGGGTCATGGTCCTTCCTCAGAATTCTGTAAACATTTCTCCCTTGACTTCTAGCATTTAATTAGTATGTTAGAGATCCAGTACCTATTTGAAGGTATTTCATTGCTTGCTAGCCTGATATTTCTGTCTGGAAACCTAGAGTACTTTTATTTTGGCAATTCAGAAAGTAAACCAGAATAAATGTACCGGTGTCTTACATTTTGATTATTCTTGCCTGGACTTTATAGATTTTTTATATATGAAAACTCGAAGAGTCCTTAGAGAAGTGTCTCTGTTTTCTGTTTTACTACCTTTTCTCAATTCATTATGAGATGTTTTTCAGGGTAATTAATTTTTTTCTTTTACGATTTAAAGATTGAACCCAAGGCCTGGCAGTGCTAGGCAAGAGCTACATCTCCCACACCTGAGGTACTGATGTATTGTGTAGGTAGGCTTATAACATACTTAATGAAATGTTGAAACTGCTGCATTGCCTTGTGTGTGTGTGGGGGGGTAGTCAAAGTAACTATCTAATGAAGGATACTAGTCATTACATAGATCCCCCAAAAATGACAGGTGAAAATACATACATATATACAATAAAACACTCAGTTTACTGGTGTTAGAAATGTGTATAAAAATTTGTGTGACTTTAATTTGAAACTTATTCTTCCCATTTTTAGGACCGGAAGTTAACCAAAGCTGAGCAGCAAAGGTTTAAGGAAGAAGCAGAGATGTTGAAAGGTCTCCAGCATCCCAATATAGTTCGATTTTATGATTCTTGGGAGTCTATCTTAAAAGGAAAAAAATGTATTGTATTAGTAACTGAACTAATGACATCAGGAACCTTAAAGACGTAAGTTGATCATGATAGTGCCAGTGAAGTTTTATTTGGAAATAATTTTCAGAAGTCATAAAAGTTATTTATAAACTAATACTTGATTAAAGAATTTATAAAATTTGTCTCAGGGTAGATTAAAAAATTAGGGTGTTAACTGGGTTTAGTGGTATCTTCTATGATCCTAGCACTCTGGGAGGCTGAGGTGGAAAGATCACAAGTTCAGCAAGACCCTTTCTTAGAAATATCAAGAGGGTTGGGGGTAGGGATGTAGCTTAGTGAGAAGGCCCTCGGTGCAACCCTTAAAACACTGATGGCTAACCTTTTAGAGCTTTCAGTGATATAAAGCTCATTGTGGCACGTGTCCCATAGGTTCACCACCACTGCCCTAGTACCACAAAAAAATATATTAATGAAATTTGTTATATCATTAAAAATTTAATACTTGGGCCAGGGCTTTAGCTCAGTGGTTCCGCCGCCTGCCTCGCAAGCGCAAGGTCCTGAGTTCAATCCCCCGTACCAAAAAAACCCCACAAAAAAAACCCCAACATTTAATACCTGCCACATATCATTGAATTTCAGAATTGGAAATCATTATAATTTCATTTGGTAAAGGAGAAAAGGTGGGTGTTTGTCCAAGTTCACATATCTAGTGAGCAATACTATATAATACTATATAATTGTAGTCTTTCTAGTCACAACTTTTCATTTGATAGTTGTACATAATTGAATGTGGGCTATACCTTTTGTTTCCTAGCAGTTTTGTGTTACAGTTTATGTAGTCAACCCCTGTTGTGACTATATGTGAGTAATTATTAAGAAGTAAAATAGGACTTTCTTTTTTCAATTGTACTTTATTCCAAAAAGGTCACTCTGGTATGAATTAAAAATGCTATACTTGGCCGGGGATTTAGCTCAGTGGTTTCACCACCTGCTGCGCAAGCGCAAGGACCTGAGTTCGATCCCTGGTACCAAAAAAAAAAATGCTATATTTAAAAGAAAAAAATGTTATACTTGCCAGGTGTAGTGGCTCACACCTGTTATCTCAGCTGCTCAGGCAGCTGAGGCTGGGAGATTGCAAATTCAGGGCAACTTAGTAAGACCCTATATCTGAATTAAGAAAATAAAAGGATAGGGATATTGCTCATAGTAGAGTGCTCTTGGGTTTGATACCCCCAGTACTGGAAAATTTATAAAAATGGGCTGGGGATGTAACTCAGTGGTGGAATACTGTACTTGTCTAACATTTATGAGGTCCTAAATTCGTACCCAGAACTGCCAAAAACAAAACAAAACAGAAAGCTATACTTGATAGGATGTCTTTTTTGGGAAAGGTCAGACTTATTAAGGGGCTGGGATATGTTAGATTGAAGTTCAGCCTCCCAGTCACAGAAAATTTGGATGTCTATCTGAGAATGGGGTGTTAGATTTAAAATTGTTTTTTGCCATAAAAGACAATAGACGTCACTTATAGTGTGTAAAATTTCAGCTTGCATATATGATTTACTCTAACATAAAGTTCTTACAATAAGATAAGAATATTTGTTTATACGTGGTCTTCTGTTTCTTTGTATAGGTACTTAAAACGATTTAAAGTCATGAAACCAAAGGTTTTAAGAAGCTGGTGCAGGCAAATTTTAAAGGGATTGCAGTTCCTGCACACTAGGACTCCTCCTATTATTCACCGGGATCTGAAGTGTGACAATATTTTCATCACAGGACCCACTGGATCTGTGAAGATTGGTGATCTAGGACTGGCCACCTTAATGCGCACATCATTTGCTAAGAGTGTCATTGGTGATTAATAGTTTATAGTTTTTAGTTTCATTATTGGGAATTTGTACCTTTACATGATATATCTTGGTTCTTTTTTTCCCCATTCCCCTGGCCTCCCTTCAGCCCCTCCCTATTTACAAAGACTTTGTTTCTGTTTTTTCCTTTTCTCATATTTATTCCTTTCCCTTCTTTCCTTTCCCCTACCCCTCCCACTTCCACTTCCCCTTTGGACCTTTTCTTCTTATTTCACATTATCTATTATGCCTTTTGCTCCTCATTTACACTTTCAGTTTCTCACACCAGAGAAATGATTCGGTATTTACACATGTGTGTCCTATTTATTTCACTTAAGAGTATCACCTCAATGTGCATCCATTTAGCTATAAATGTCTCTAGTTTCGCATTCTTTATAGTTGAGTAGTACTCCATTTTATATAAATCAGATTTTATTAGAACACAGCCACATCTACTCATTTATGGATTATCTATGGGTGTTTTTGCACTGCAGAGTTGAATAGTTGTGTGACAGATATTATGGACTACAAAGTACAAAATGTTTATTCTAGTTTTTCACTGAAAATTTTACCAACTCCTGGCCTAGACTGAATTTGTTTTGAAATACCTTATAGTGACTTATTTCAGAGACATCTTAGTGTATTTCTTTTGAGGGATATATTTAGGGTCACTAAAAAGTTCTGAGGACTTAAGGAAGAGAATTTATTAAGTTCATTCAGAAAAATATGAACTAAAATTAGTAGAAATTAAAAACATCATCTTAACCTAATGTTGAGCATTACAAATTGTACTTTATTAGTATGGAAATTCTTTGTTTTGTATAAATAATACAAATTTTATAATTTTAAATTTGCTTGTGGGTAACAAATTAACACAGGTACTGTGTGGGAAAGGAATCTTGGTGGATATATTTTTCTCTTTAATAAAAATATGATATATTATAGGAACTCCTGAGTTTATGGCTCCAGAGATGTATGAAGAGCACTACGATGAATCCGTTGATGTCTATGCTTTTGGAATGTGTATGTTAGAAATGGCTACTTCAGAGTACCCTTATTCTGAGTGCCAGAATGCAGCTCAAATATACCGTAAAGTAACCAGTGTAGGTATAATTTTATTGTTTTTCACAAATTGCCATGTTTCTTGTTGAAGTTGGTAAAACTGATTTAGGCAAGCCTAATTTGGGGCCATACTTTTAAGTGGTAGAGTAATTGTCTAGCGTGTGTAAGGCTGCAAAGAAAGGAAGAAAGAAAGAAAAAACCCACAAAATCCCCCTAATTTTAGTTTAAGTTTATGTAATGGTAATTTAACAATTATAATGAGACAAGCTTTATACTATATATCTGCCCTCTGTTGAGTCATAAATGCTCTGTATTAGTGTTTTGGGGAAAATACAGATATATCATCTATATTTATTTGTTTCTAATGAATTCTTAGATATTTATTAGATGAATCTTAATTTTCACAGCTGAATAGGAAAGATTGTCTAAAAGGCTTTGAAGGTTTCTAATAAATAGGGTTAAAAGCCTGATTATGAGAGGGCATTCACAATATAGTTCTGTATAAACACACAATTGAAAACTACAGTGAATACTTAAATTTTAAAAATTATAGTAGAGGACACATGAGTGCCTTTAGTTAGTTGCATGGTTGTGGCTGCCTCAATGTTCAGAGTCAATTTAAAATATTTACGTTTCATGGTCATTTGACTTCGGGGAAGAGCTAGAAGTTGCACAGTGGTAGATTGGGTAAATAAGGTGGATAAAGACACACAGTAAGTAGTGATTTTTATGAATGTGCTTTTTCATTGACTGGCACTTGCAGCATTATTCACTGACCTCATAAAGACACTCAGGTAAGAGGACATCTAGAACTGCTTCAGAAAGTGACATTAATAACGGGATAAGTGTGTTTGAAGCAAGAGGGAGCATATTGAGGGAGATTAATTGTAATGTCTCTTTTCCTATAATACTTTTTTTAAAAGTTGAAATATTCACTGTATATTTTGATTATACTTTATATTTGAGCCACTGCTATGAGTTATTTTTTTTTTGTTAGTGATTACAAGAAGAGAGAGAGACCTTTTGCAAATGGGAAGGGAACCAAGACATGGAGGAGGGAGGGAGGGAGGGAAGAAGAAAGAATTAAAATGTGTTATGTACGTATACCAGCTCCCCATGATGAATGTAATCATTATGTACTACAAACATGTACTAAAAAAATTAGTTGGGCCTGGTGGCACATGCCTGTAATCTCAGCACATGGGAGGCTGAGACAGGAGGATCACCTCAAGTTCATTGCCAGCCTGGGCTACATAGTGAATTCAAGGCCAACCTGGACTATATAGTGAGACCCTGTCTCAGAAAACCAAAAGACATTTTTTCAATTAATTAAAAAGTAAAAGTAAAAGAAATTACAAGGAATACAAAGATGAATTAGAAGTTTTCTACTCTCCTGGAGCTTACATTTCTAGTAGAGGAATAACAAATTTATAAATAACTATAAAATAAGAGGATATAATTGTAATATGGGACATAGCAAAGGTAGGGTTATTATTGTTTAGAGGACTATATCATATACAGTTTGGTGGCTAAAGATAGGCCATGAAAGAAATTATTAGCATTTTGTTAGCTATTATTAATAGGTAATAATTTAAAAATTTCTTTTAAATTAATGTTACTTTTAATATACCAATTAAAATTATAAACATTTATGGGATATGAGGTGATATTTTGATGCACACAATGTGGAATTATTAAATCAAGCTAGTTATATCCATCACCTCATTTGCTAATCTTTTGTTTTGAGACATTAGAAATTTACTTTCTAAGTTGTGTTGAATATATATTATTATTGATTGTGGTTACTTATTTAAGTAAGTTAAATAATACATATTAAACTTATTTCCCTTGTCTAATTGTAACTTGTACCCTTTGACTAATGATTTCCTATTAACAATATGCCTCTCCAGCCTCTCGTAACCATCATTATTTTTTTTAACTGCTGAGTTTGACTCTTTTTTAGGTTTTACGCATAAATAAGATCATGTGATATTTATCTTCTTGTGCCTGGCTCCTTTTACTTAGAATAATATCCTAAGTTCATCCATGTTGTTGCAAATTACAGAATTTCTTCTTTTTTTAAGGCTCAGTAGTATTCTATTGTATGCTAAATACCGTGTTTTCTTTCTCCATTAATCCACTGATGGATACTTGTTCCTATATTTGACTGTTGTGAATGATGCTGCCATAAACTTCATGGGAATGTAGATATCTCTTTCAATATGTTGATTTCACTTCCTTTGGACATATATCCAGTAGTTAGTTTGAATCGGTAGTTCTATTTTCAGTGTTTTTTTTTTGAAGCATCTCCATACCTTATCCATAATAGTTGTATTAGTTTGTATTTCCACCAACAGTGTATAAGGGTTCTTTTTCTGAAGCAATTACTTTGTCACTGAACTATCTCTTTAAGATTTCCGTTTTCTATATATCCTCACCAATACTTAGCTTTCATCTTTTTAGTAATAGACATTATAACAGGTATGAAGGGGTGCCATTTTTAATGCATGTGATAAACGATGTACTTAGTTTTTAATCCCTACAAGAAAGGTATAATCTTCAGTTTATAGATGATAAGATTGCAAAACAGACATTGTGACTTGGCCAACTTCCCACAATTATTGATAATGGTGGATTTTGACCTTCAGGCTGTCTGACTCTAGTGATTTGTAAAGGGAGACAATAAGACATAAAAGCAAAATTCAGAATGTGAGACATTTTGTAGGACAAATGACCTAGTTTCTCCAACAAAACAATTTCATGCAAAAGGGGAGGAGGTCTTTTATACATTGTAAGAGACTTAGAAGTAGTGTTGAGCTGCTAAATGTTTAACAGCTGATTCTCTGAAAAAAATAAAGCACTGATTCTTAGTATATACCGATTTTTTGTGCTGTAAATTCTCTTGCTATGGCTGGTATCAAGTTACTGGTGTGACCTCACACCAGTCAGGAAGGGATGCACAGTGGCACTTTTTATATGCAATTTCTACCACAAATGTATAATAGCTGTAAACAACCTCAAATGCATGAATAATGGTAAAATGTAGTAAAATAGGAAGCGATGTTTTCAGTATTTATTGTCTTGTCTTTTTAGTACAATTTATTTAATTGTAAGTTTACATAATTTAATTTTTAAGAAATGACTATGTTTAACAATTGGCTTACAAAATTCCTGAAAATATCTCTTATAAGTTGCTATGAGCCACCTCCAGCACATGTATGGACCCTGTTAAGATCCTGATTTGAACAAACCAATTATAAAAAGACATCATTTAGGCAATTTTGAAAATTAGAGTGTGGATTGTGTATTAGATAATATTAAGACTATTCATGATCATTTTAGATGGGATAATGACATAATTCTTTTTAGAAGGGTCTCTTTATTAGAGGTATAAACTGAAAAATTTATGGATGAAGGGACATAATACTTTAGATTTGCTTTAAAATACCCCAGGATATGAAAGGTAGGCAGATAGCTGAAACAAGGCTGACACACTAATCATTGTTATTGAAGATGGTGATGGTTTTGTTAGGCTTAATTATACTATTCTACATTTTTTTGTGGCACTAAGGATTGAACCCAGGGCCTTCATTCTGAATTACATCCCTAGCCTCCCACTTTCTTTTTAATTTTTATTTCGAGATAGGGTGTTACCCTGGCTGGGTTTGAACTTGTGATCCTTTCACCTCAGCCTCCCAGAGTGTGCCACTGCACTTGGCTTACTATTCTACTAGATTTTTAAAAATTTCTATAAAAGCTCAGGAAAAAATCTGAGAATAGTGGTACATGCCTGTAATCCCAATACTGTGGGAGGCTGAGGCAAGAAGATTACAAGTTAGAGCCTCGCTTGAGCAATTCAGCAATTTAGTGAGACTCCGTCTCAAAGTAAAAAATTGAAAAGGGGATGGGGATGTACCTCAGTGTGAAGGCCCTGGATTCAATCCCCAGTACCACTAAAATGAATGAATGAGTGAATTAATTGATAAGCTGAGAAAAAAGAACTAGAATGTCTTTTTTAGTTTGGGTTCATAGTTTGGATAGTCCTAAACAGAAAACTATTTTGTACTTGATTTGTAAGTTATAGTTCCCCATTTCATTTAGGAGCAAAAAAAGAAGGCACACAGGGTTCGAAAATGGGTACAGGGTCAGTGAAAAAGTCAAAGAGGGTTTTTTCTGTAAATACAATAACATAACTCCAGTCTTTAATAACTATTATTTTATATTAAAATTACAAAAATGGCATGTCACAATTCACATTTCCATTGCTCTTACAGTTTATTTAGCATATAATACTGAACTTTTCAATTCTGTATACTGTTAGGTAGTGTGATAGGCATAGAAGTGGATCTTAGATTGCCTCAATCCATGACAATTATTCTAGTATACCTTTCTGCTTCCATCTTAATTTGGAATTTTCTATTAAATGGTTATAATAATACTTGGATTATATTTTTAATTTAAAACTCAGAATGAAAGGTAAAACAATGTAAAACAAGCAGATTTAGGCAGCTAACCCAGTTGTCATAGAAACATTATCAGTTGTCTGACCTGCATTTATTTGTTATTTAATTTCTAGAACCTGATAATTAGCATAAGGTAGGTTCTCTTGATATTTCAGTGTTATTTAAGGATAAAATAATATGGATTTCTCAAATGTTTTTATTATATGTATATATTTTTCCATACATGCATATATAGATATATAAGTATATGGTGGTTCTTTGCTTCTAACCATTCTAGAAGACTTTGAAATATTTTGGATCGGGATATTATTTTTCTAATTGAGATTTTACTGTATGTATACTTTGAGATCCTACTTTTTTCCCTACTTAATATTACATTATGAGAATTCTCCATGTCATTAATTATTTTGAGAATATTTTTAGATTCTATATATTATACATACATTAAAACATAATGTATACATCTGCTTTGTTGTAGGTTTACATTATAATTTTTCACTCTTATCTGTAGGGCTATTACAAAAATCTTTGTCAGTGTTACTAAACTTATATTGTATGTATATATTTACCTCATTTAAAACTTCAGTGTAGTTTAGTAATAAAAATGACGTTTAATGAGTGTCATGTTGATCTGGACTTTTAATTGTTTAATTCGTAACAAGAAACCATTTTTCTCCTCCCAGGGCATAAAACCAGCCAGCTTCAATAAAGTCACTGATCCTGAAGTGAAAGAAATCATTGAAGGATGTATTCGTCAAAATAAATCTGAAAGGTGGGTGCACATATAGTTAAGTGACATAACTGATGGATACATTTTTCGCTTATCTTGCTCTGGGTCATTTTCTAACCTTTCAGTCATGCTGGGTATGACTTCAGTAGAAGCCAAATCATACAGTCTAGAGTGAAATATATCGGTGCATGTTGTTTGCCATTTTAGATGGTGATACCATGTTCTGAATTTTCCTTGTGGTGACATTTACAGGGTGTGTGTGTGTGTGTGTTTGTGTGTGTGTGTGTTGTGACAAACTTTCATCACCTTTAGCTATCAATTTAACAGTCAGTAGACCCTTACTAGTTAAATTGTTATCAGTTAAGAGTATATGTATTTTATTTGAGCATATATCTTTGTATCACAATAGTGGTAAAGCTAATATGGATATTTTTGTTTAAGAAGTAGGAAATTTATATTTTTGTATCACAATTTGTGTTTTTCTTATGGACATCTCCTTTAGTCTTAGCTTTTAGTTACCTTTGAGCCTTAGAAAATTTTAGTCTTATATTGGTGAGTTCATCTTTTGATTTGTATCTCCTTATGATGGTGTTTAATAGAAGTGATATGTCATTTATAGAAATCATTTCCAGCTATGTTTCATTGATCCTCCCTTTTTAAAAAATTAGTTTTCTATCTAGATTTAGTGTTACATATCTAAGAATACATAAAGCCGCTGAGGTAAGACTTGTTTAATTATGGGTATTATAGAACATTCTTAGTGTTCATACTGACAGGCTGCAACTAGGTTTTTTAAAAAAAACTGTAGTAAAAATGCATAACTTAAGATTTATCATTTTAGCCATTTATAAGTGTATAATTCAGTGGCATTAAGCACATTCTCATTGTTGTACAACAGTCATTGCTATCCATCTCCAGAACTCTGTCATTATACCAAACTGGAAATCTGTTCCCACTAAACAGTAATTGCCCATTCCTTCTTCCCTCTATCACCTGGTAATTTCTATTCCACTTTTTGTCTCTATGAATTTGCCTGTTTTAGGTATATCGTATCAGTGGAATAAAACAGTTTATTCTTTGTCTCACTTCATTTAGCATGATGTTTTCAAGTTTGATACCTGCTATAGCATGAATCTGATTTTCCTTTTTAAATTTTTATTGTTTTACTTTTTGGTTTTTTGAGATAGGGTTGCAGTTTGTAGCCTAGGCTCACCTTGAATTCACTACATAGCCCAGGCTGGCCTTGAATTCACAGTCCTCCTGCCTCAGCCTCCTGAGTGCTGGGATTAGAGGCATGTACCACCATGTCTGATTAGTTTTCCTTCTTTTTTAAGGCTGAATAATATCTCCTTGTGTGTATCTACCACATTTTGTTCATACATTCATTCATTTATGGACACTTAGGTTATTTTCATCTTTTGGCTACTGTGACAAATGCAGCATGAGTGTTCGTATGAGTATCTATTTCAGTCTCTGCTCTCAGATCTTTTGGGTATATACCAAGGGTGGAATTATTGGATCATATGATAATACTATGTTTAATATATTTTTTTAATAATACATGTTTGCAGTACATAATATTTACATTCCTTGTGTGGACTTGGTATGTGTATATAACACATCTTAGTTCCTTTTTTTCTCCTTTTCTCCCCCCTCCATCGCTTGATCCCTTTTCAATTTGAGAAAGATCCATTTCCCTACTTGCTATTATTTATCTTAATTTACTCTTTATTTAAAATTTTGGTTTCTCATATAAGAAACTATGTGATATTTAAGCTTGTATATCTGGTTTAGTTCACTTAACATTACAGTCTCTAGGTGCATCTATTTTCCTACAAAGGACTCAAGTTTATCCATCTTTATGACAGAGTAGTACTCCATTACATGTAAATACCACATTTTCTTTATCCAAGCATCTGTTGATGGACCTTAGACTGCTTCCAAGATTTAGCTATTATGAACTGTGCTGCTATAAACATGGTATATATGTATCCCTGTGATATGATGTCTTTAACTCTTTTGGGAAGATACGTAGAAGGGAAACAGCTGAGTCAAATGGAATTTCTAGTTTTAGTTTTTTGAGGAATCTCCATTCTGATTTCCATAGTGGTTGTACTAGTTTACATTCCCATCAACAATGTAGAGTGTTCCTTCTTCCCTGCAGCCTCACAGCATTTGTTATTATTTGATTTCTTGATGATAGCCATTCTTTATGGGGTAAGATAGAAGCTCAGTGTTGTTTTAATTTGCATTTCTCTAATGGGTAATGATGTTGAGTATTTCTTCACATATTTATTGGCCATTTGTACTTCTTCTGTGAAGTATCTATTCATTTCACTTGCCCATTTTTTTTTTTGGTACCAGGGATCGAACTCGGGTCCTTGTGCTTGCGAGGCAGGCGGCAGAACCACTGAGCTAAATCCCCAGCCCAACTTGCCCATTTTTAAAAATTCTGTCTTTTATTTTGGTTTGCTGTGCAACTGAGGTTCTGTTTAGAAAATTCTTGCCTATGTCTGTGACCTCAAGAGTTTTACCTATTTTATCTTCCAGCACATTAAATGTTTCTCTTTTAACATTTAGTTCTATGATGCCTTTTGACTTTAGTTTACTACATGGTAAGAGATATAGGTCTAGATTCAATCTTGTGCAAGTAGATAGCCAATTTTCCCAACACCATTTATTAAAGAGGCTGTATTTCCTCCAGTGTATGTTTTTGGCCCCTTTATCAATAGTTTAATGTATCTGAGGTTGTTTTTGAATCCTCTATTCTGTTCCATTGATCCTCATGTCTGTTTTTATCCCAGTACCATGCTGTTTTGGTCACTGTAGCTTTGTAATATAACTTCACTCCCAGGATTGTGATGCCTCCTGCTTTGCCCTTATCATCCAGGATTGCTTTTACTATCCTAGATCTCTTTTGGTTCCATATGAACTTTAGGATTGTTTTCTCCAGTTATGTAAAGAATGCTATTGGAATTTTGACTGGGATTGCATTAAATCTGTACATCAATTTTGGAAGTATGCCCATTTTGACAATATTAGTTCTGCCTATCCAGGAACAGGGGATATCTTTCCATTTTCTGATGTTTAACTTTTTGAGGAACCACCAAACATTGTACCACAGCTGTATGCAACATTTTGCATTCCCACCAGGAGTATATGAAGGTTCTACTATTTCAGTGGTTTTTTTTTTTTTTTTTTTGGTACCAGGGATTGAACTCGGGACCTTGTGCTTCCAAGGCAGGTGCCGGAACCACTGAGCTAAATCCCTGACCCTATTTCAACATTCTTATCAACACTTTCTTTTTTCTTTTTTTCAATATTGAGAATTGAACCCAGAGCTTCACACATACCCAGGCCCTTTTAATTTTTTTCTTTTGAGTCAGGTTCTCACTAAGTTGCCTAGGCTGTTCTTGAATGTGGGATCTTCCTGCTCCTGCCTCTGAAGTACCTGGGATTACAAATCTGCTCCATTGCTCCCAGCTTCAACACTTGTTATTTTCTGGTTTTTGATAATAGACACCCTAATGGGTATAAAATACTATCTCATTGTGGTTTCAATTTGCATTTCCCTAATGACTAGTTATGTAGAGTATGTTTCTATGTGCTTATTGGCCATTTATATATCTTTGGAGAAATCTCTATATAAGTGCTTTGCCCATTTTTGTAATTTTTTTCCCTTGTAGTGGGGATCAAATCCATGACCTTACACGTGCTAGGCAATTACTCTATTACCGAGCTATATCCCTAGTCCTCATTGCCCACTGTTAAGTAAGCTCTTGTTGTCATTCAGTCATAAGATTTTAGACATGATTTTTTCCTTTTTTGTACTGGGGCTTGCATATGCTAAGAATGTACTCTATCATTGGATTATACTTTCAGATCCTAGACATGCTTTTTAAATTGAGGCTAAAAATACTATATTGAAGTAGCTGTTTTAGTTTAGATTCTGATTGTTATCTGTATTGCATGATAATTATGATCTGTTACTAAAGAACATCGATATTCAAAAGGATCATGGCATATTAGTGTATTAGAAAAAGCATAGTCCTCAATGGCAGAACTAAGATTCAAACGTAGACTCATTTTTAGCTTGAGCAAGTTACTCAGTTGTTCCCCCAAATAAGTAATGTTTTGATGACTAAAAGGATAATTTATATATATGTATATATAACAGTAAGAATTTTTCAATAAATGATGTCTTTTGCTACTATTGTTATACTTACATACTGTGATCAAAAAATACAGTGAGTGTTTAATTTAAAAAATTATTATAGTAAAAGAAACACATTATCATTAATCCCCCTCAGACTATACTTCGAACATACTTATCTCATCATTCCTGCCACTTTCTGAAGCAATTCTGAAAGTCTTTCACCATGTCTTTAGTTGCATTTAGTTGCCTTGATATCCTGAATTGATTAAAAATGTTTACCTTTCATGGTCATTTTTAAAAATAAAATTTATTTTAATTTTATTCCATTCCCCCCTTCCTCATTTTTGACTCTGAGGAAGAGCCAGAAGTTGTACAGTGTCAGATTCAATGAATAAGGTAATACTTTTATAAGTCTACCTTTCCATTGAAGGCATTCAGCAGGAGTGTCACCATAGTTTTTTGTCACGCCTCCTCAAGACATAAAAGAGGACATTCAGAACTGCTTCAGAAAGTGGCAAGAATGATGGGATAAATGTGTTCGAAGTGAGGGGGAATAGTTTGAGTGGGACTAATGGCCATATGTCTTTTACTTTAATACATTAAAAAATTAAACATTCACCATATATTTTGATCACACTGTGTATCCCTGACTAAAAATGCTTAGACAAAATTTTCATTGAGAGCCAGAGGGCTAAACACATCTTACTTTAGCATTAAAACAATTAATTGGAACAAACTTATTTTTAATAACATTGTCTTAGTTAAGAATGTACCTTTTGATCACTAAAAATGTCAAGGATTGAAAATTCTCCACTTATAGGACATCATGTTATACATATGCTTTTTCTGTTTTAAGTAGTACAGGAGGGGCTCTCAACATAGACATTATGGAAAATATCAATTTCAGCTTCCCTGCTCTGTAATACAGATAAGTATTACATGCCTTATAAGAAAAAAATAACTGGGGCCGGGGATTTAGCTCAGTGATGCTGCGGCCTGCCTTGCAAGAGCAAGGTCCTGAGTTTGATCCCCAGTACCAAAAAAAAAGAGAGAGAAAAATCACTGCACTAGCTTATAAAAGATTCTTTTGATGTCTTATACTTTGTTTTTCTTCAGAAATGGTTAATCTTTAATGTGAAGCTAGGATTGTATCCATTATATGTTTACTATGGCCTAAAACCAATGTTAAATCCTTTAAGAAAACCACTGGACTTTGCTGAACCACCTTAGCTTCACCTGTGGCATTCTTCTAACAAGTGAAATACACTGACTAGATTATTGTTAGTGAAGTCAGTGTATTTAAAACATTTGTAAAAGAGTTTGAATTTCTAATTTAGGTTTTATGTCTGGGGCAATTTTTACTTTCCTTTGCCGGGAATCTTTTGAGTATTACTAACTTAAGTGGCTTAGGGAGACTAATCAATGTGCCTGACATGTATGATAGTACTTTTCTAATTCTCTTTAGGCATACTTTTATATATGTTAAATTTAATTTTCTAGATGTATTACTTTGTTGGAATTTTTTGGGATCCCTAGTAGTAGGTTGGATATAAGATTTAGTTTTTATAACAAGACAGATTAATGGTTTAATTATTAGGGAATTTAAAATAAGGTTGTTGCTTTGATATAATTTTTACTAATTAAAAGATTCACATCTTGCTTATGATTGGAAGAACTGATAATAAGATATATATTTTGTTTATTAGGTTGTCTATCAGGAACCTGCTAAACCATGCATTTTTTGCTGAGGATACAGGACTGAGGGTGGAGTTAGCAGAAGAAGATGATTGCTCAAATTCATCCCTGGCTTTGAGACTCTGGGTTGAAGATCCTAAAAAATTGAAAGGCAAACACAAAGACAATGAAGCTATTGAATTCAGTTTTAATTTAGAAACAGATACACCTGAGGAAGTAGCATATGAAATGGTAAGTAAATCTTAGCTACTGTTTCTCCCATCCTTTACTGGTAGGAGAGTCAATTCCTTCCTCATTCTTATTGCTTTCTTTCCTCTCATTTTCTCTTTTTATTCTTTATTTAAATTGTGTTACTGTGAAATGTATCTCAACATAGTATATTAAATTTGTGTGCACAGTATAAAGAATAATAAAATACTACTTTTGTTAAGAAATAAAAATTACTGCATTTTAAGCCACCCATGTGAACCTCCCAGCTACATTCCCTTCCCTGATCACTCCAGGCAATATCTACCCTGACTTTCCTGTTACTCATTTCTTTATTTTTCATTTTTGTTTATACAGGTAAAATATTGTATCACTTTGAAACCCTAAGTAGCAAATATACCCCTAGCTGGTTACACAGGGACTATTGGTGAGATCAGATGCTGAATTGCAGGGGAGGATAAGCTAAAGTGAGTCTCTGGGTCACTGTCTGGCTTTGGGCTTCCTTAGAGTATATAAGAGCTGCTTCTGGGGAAATCAGAGTGCAAGGTCGTGAATGAGTGTGGAGAAATAAACCCATAGCTCAGCACAGTCAAGGCTTCAGCAGGGCTGTTGTGTGGACCAGCAGTTAGCTTTCTGGTAACCATAGGGTCGGATGAGGTATGGGCTGCCCTGATTTTTCTGTTTCTGATCTCCCCATGACCATCCCCTACCATCAGTAGATCACAGCAGGTAACTACTCTGAGGTGCAAAGCGTGTCCACACCTGCTCCAGGCAGCTGCAGTGCTAGTGGGGAGGCATGCTGGAACTGTGGCAGCATATGGTCAAGACTGGTCATGACCAGCCCTGTACAGCCTGTCTGAGCCAGACTCACCTGTGCATTCTGGCCTCAGGATAAAGAAAATAAAAGATGGGGCAATAATGGTAGGGATCTTTGAGATGAGATTATAGGCCTTACCATGACCATCTTTCTAGTCACACTATTCTAGTCTGGAATGATTATCTTGGACATCTGATGCACAACTATCATCTGAATATTTCCTTTTACTGTTTTCTTATTGCTTTAATTTGTACAATGAACATGCATTATGTCAGAATGAGTAAAACCAATGTAAAATTACTTCAATTTAAAAACCTGTAAGTCTAAAATGGAATAACTATTTCTTCAATTTTACCAACATGCAGAGATATAAAAATCATAATACATCCCATCTATACTGTAGTACATACAGTGTTTTAAATTTTCTGCTAGCTTCTTAAGAGTTCATGGGAGGTACATTGTTTGAGACTTGCATGTATGAAAGTGCCTTTTTTCTTTCTTTTTTTTCAGTCATTAAAGGGAACCTTGTATTTCACAGGCTTTATTTTGATGGCAAAAAGACTGCATTATAAAATTACAATAATAATAAAAATACAAAACTGAAAAGGATTGTTCAGAGGGAGTCAGGGTCTCCCAATCCTGTCATGGCTCAGCGGTGGCTCAGCTGGCTGCTTAAGGTTGAAGGGTGGGTCTGAGATGAACCTGCAGAATAATCCAAGCTGAGCATCACCTGTTGGACCTAGGGACCAGACCCCGGGAATGCTCCCATGGACCTTCGAGCTGGGTTTGCCTTGGCATCAAGGCACTGGCTCTGGGCCTCGGCTCCTGGAGGTCAGGCAGGTCAGACAGCAGCATCAGGGAATTCATCTGGATTTCACACTACAGATACTCAGTGTTGGCAGGGTTCATGCCATGGGCCTAAAGCTAATCAGCAAGTAGGGAGGCTGCAAGTGAGGCTGAGTATGCCTGACTATACTGTGGCCTGTCAGCCACACCCATGTCAAAAGACTGGTTTAAGAATTCCTCCAGGTTAAAGCCAACACCATAGCCAGCCCCACTGTCCTTTGGTGTGCCTGAGTACACAGGAGGTAGGGGGTCTTTCACCTGTAACTTAGACAACTGGTGGGTCACCAAGTTGACATCAGGTGACTCTCATGTGGAAGGCTGAGGGGCCCCCCCCAGGGTCTAGAGGGGGTGGACCAGATGGGAAGTAAGGCTGGCACAAGCGACTGGGGGGCCAGAAGGCTAGTGGAGGTGGTAGTTTGGAGTGATGAAGGGAAAGAGATGGGTCTAGGAGGGCCAGTGGGGGGGGGGGGGG